AATCCTAACTTACCAGTTACCATCTCACATCTTCTAAGAAAAACAAGCATTACTTAACGTTAGGAGATCCGCCCAAACTTTTTAAGAGGTCTTAAATAAGTGTCAAACAAAGCAAATCCCCAAAGAGATCCAAACTTTAAAGGTTGCGTAACTTTTTGGGCGAAAAACAAAACAACGTCGATGTTGTTGTAGTCCTGTGTAAATCTGTTCAATGTCTAATGTCGATACGAATAATCTTGTTTAGAGCTTGGCTATGATGATAGGGAATATTTATGGGGTTTTGGAACGATAAAGGAATATTCCTACTCTGTGGTGTTGATTGGAAATTCATGTTTAATCTTTGAAACCGTTTGAATGGAGGAATTCGTGGTTTAAGTGTAGTTGTACTGTAGATTAACAGTTTATAGGTTCAGCGACGTTGGTTGAAGTTCGTCTGTGGATGGGTGACCATTTTAATTCGTTATGACTGCGTCATACATATTTCGTGGGTAGTAAAGCGTTTCTTGGTATTTCTACAACTAATTAAGTATTGTGGTTATTATGGTTTTTCTTTTTTCCTTTTTTAAACTAAAGGTTCAGTTTGGAGTGAGTAGTTGAATAGAGTATCATAAATTAAATAAATATATACAACTTAAAATATAAATAACTAAAATATTTATCTCTTAAAAAAAGTATTAATAATGAAAATGCTATCTTAAGGCAACAAAAAAAAATTCCTCATCGCTATCGTTAGGTAGGTAGTTAGATACCTACTCTATATTTATTATGACTTTAAAGATTGATTTCTTATAAACATTTTGTTTATTGTGATAATACATATTAATCTCCAGGCACATTGAATTTTTCAAAAATGTATTTTTATGTTTTATTATAAATTGCACAAACAAACTTCTACCGCTACGTTTACCCTTCATCCCGTAGTGCTATAAAAACGTATCGGGAGTTGCGCTTGCGCACCGATCTATTTCTGTAGCGCTGTAAACAAGCATTGTTGCTCTAATGTTGTTTGTTTACTCGACTGCTGACTGCGGTGCAAACCAGGGCTACGTTTTAGATACAATCTAGATGCTAGATTAACTAAAGGTCTATTAATTATTTTTTTTAAACGTTGCCCCACGTTAGGATTTTCTCCTGTGTCGTGGGAGCGTGGGACTGCCTCGTTGACCGAGTGGTCGTAAGTGCGACTGCCGGGCAAGGGGTCTTGGGTTCGATTCCCGGGTCGGGCAAACTATTACTGGGTTTTTTAATATTCTCCGTAGTAGCACGGAGTCTGGAATTGTGCCCGGTATATGTCAATACCTATTACATGGGACTCATAACATAAATAGTGAAAAGTGTGTGCTACTTTATACAGTAGTATATTGTGCACCTCTGCCTACCCCTTCGGGGATAAAAGGCGTGATGTTATGTTATGTTATGTTTCGTGGGAGCCTTTACAAACATACAAGTTCACATCAATCTGTGGAAATTGGTAGTAAATATTTATTAATTAGTACTAGACTACCTTTAATTCAGATTGCATGCTGTTGATGAAATTGTAAGTAGTTACTTGTCAAAAATCTTAACACACTTGTGTATATCTTATTTGGGATTTATAGTTTAAATTTATATGAATTTTAATACTTGGACGATGCGCCTACAAAGTTACTAACTGAGAAGAATATCGAATACGAAAACCTACTCTAGATTTGATAACACTATCAAAAATCTAACCATTTATTCAACCACCTTAAATCCTCTGTGACTAATTCAAAGCAGAAACTAAACAGGTTAAAACAAAACTTCCTGGTCATTTCCCTGTTTAGTTTTCGCATAAAATATAACCGCTTAACGTAACATTTAACTCGGTTGGACGTGCGTCGCCTTTCGTCATAAAACTTCAAATGTCAGTAGTATTCTCATAAAACAAACGGTTGGTTATAACTGGCCAGTTAACCCCGATGCCGACCCAATTGGTAGACGACTTCATATTTGCGGGATCGTTCGCGAAAATAGAACGCAACGATTTAACTCGTCGAGTACCGTATTTATAGACACAATTAAAGAACAATAGGTTGCGGTCACCGGTGACCGCTTGGTGTTTGACAGTTTAAGGGTTAGGTAAGGCGAGATATTTGTGTGGGAATGCAAATCTATTAATTTTTATTTTTTTTCTCCTTTTGTCGATGTGATTAATGTTGTTTCATCATTTTTATTTTTTTCGAGTTTTCACAGCTATAGACACATTTAAACACAATTTTAAACATACTCTCCATTCAACATAATTTTAAACCGACGTGAAACAACGTATGCGTTGAGTTTCGTCGTGCGAGTGAGGTTACAGGAAGCCCAATAACCCCCCCCCACCCATCCCCAATCCTCAAATTCGTAATCACAAAAGGCCGGTAACGCACTTGCAACGCCTCTGGTGTTCCAGGTGTCCATGGGCTTATACCATAAAAAAACATTCATAGTCATTTCCATTTCTCATTATGTTATTTATTTTAAGTAAATATACGGTTTACTTATACTAATTACGTTTGTTAGTTAAGTGTATAATAAAATTGTAGCCCAACCAATAATAGGTAATTGCTACTCATATCGACCTGTTTAAACACGAAACATCATTACTCTGTTAGCAATATCGAGTTAATCTCATAATGCCATTACACAAACCCCATTTCATAGTCCACCGGTTATAGTCCACTGTAAATTGAAATGCGGGAAAATATGGAACTATAATGAAAATGTTCTGCTTTTGACATTATTGTTGACATTTTTCCTAGAAAGCAGCGCCGTTTTGAAATGTCAGTTTATATTGGTTTTTAGTATAGGTGACTCAAGCTAGAAGTGCTGACATTGGTCGATCATTTTAGTCTGTTTACAAGCAATACCTAATTGGAGTTTTATGTAGAAGTACATATGTGTTGCTAGCTTGCTAGCAATTTAAACTGAATCGGGAAAGGTTTCGAATATTGAGCTTGAATATTAAATAGATACATGCTAAAATATAAGAATAACAACATGAATTACTTATTTTCAGTAGTGAAATCACTCACACAGGTGATTACAAATTTATTTTTTTGTGGAAATAGAAATGGATTAGGGCTTAACGGCCGCAGAGGGCTTAACGGGTTGCCGGAGCTCCGGCTCGAAGTGCAGTAGTAGGAATGGGGTGGTTTTTTTAGTCAATAAAAGTGTCTCGCCTTACCCGGGCGGGTGAAGTCATTGGATGATTTTTCCCCCTGGTGGTTATAATCTTTTATAACGATTCAAGTCATTAGATGTCATTACATCTCAAAAAAAACTTACCAACAAACGTTAAAAAACAAAGCAACTATCCTAAGTGCTTCGAGAAAAACCCTAGACCTATTTTCACAGAGCCAATAAACAAATGAAACGGAAAAAAGGGAAATGGGACAGAGTGCAAATAAGCTGGAAACCTATCGGAGTTTCCCACAATCGCTGGTTAATGGGATTGGGGCGCGACTAGATTACTGCGACTAATTGATGGCATCGCGTGGCTAGCTGATTGATTAGCGATGCAAAAACTACGGATCAGAGATCCTTCGTAATTAGAGGAACAAGCCATTGGAGTCCTGTAAAATAAAAGATATTGTAGTCTTGTGATCTGCAAGATGTAAGTTATTTATTTTGGAAACAAATTTAAATTGTAGTGAAAGATAACAATGATATAGAGGGGTTTAGAGTTTAGGCTTGTTTTTCTATTGTTATGCTATTTATTAAGAATCATACAAGAATGAAACAGAAGTAAATGAACTATAAGATTTTCCACCCATGAGGAAGTTTATCTTAAGTTTTTCTAATACAAACCGTCTCTAGAATATCTATATCTATTCTACTATTATTGTTATTAGGCTTTGATTTCTTTCACTATGCTGTAGTGAGAGAACAAAATACTTTTTCAATAATCTACTTCTGACTTAAGTGTTGTACCCTTTAATACTGGATAAAAATAATACTGGATTTAAAAAAAATCTTAATAGTAGGACGGAGTTTGGTATTGTGTCTGGTATATGGCAATAGGTTCACCCTCTATTACATGGGACTCATAACATAAATAGTTAAAAGTGGGTGTTACATTGTATAGTGGACGTGAAGTTATGTTATGTTTTGTATCCTTTATAGGTCCCCTTTTCCTATATTAGGTTATTGCAGCGGTTTCGGGAGCTCATGGCGGGATGGTCCCATTAAAACAATATTTAGGTTATTAACATACATGTTATTTGTTATGTTCTTTAGTGCAAATAAACGGCTTTTCTTCCTTTCTTTTCTTTCTTCAAAAAACTTTATTTTTACTAAGAGATTAACCCCGATTAGTGTGTACGAACTGTCGCGTCTGTAATGGTTTATGTTAATCTGTTGGAGTATTCTGTAATCAGCTTAATTGTGGTGGCTTCGTGGCTTCGTGGCTGTGTATTGTTGTCTGTGTTTACGTGTTTTGTCTTATGTGTGTTAAATGGGATGATTTGGTTGTTTCACGGTGCTTCGAAACATCATACTTCATTTTTTTTGAACAGGTATTTATATTCTCATCCGAAAATTGTTTGTTTGATATAGTTAATCCTTTGTTATAACTTCTGTTCTTGTTACCACATCTTCCTTCTCCTGTTACTAGGTACAAAGAGAAAATATGTCCCATTCATTAATCCCTTGAATTTTATTCCGATCGATTGACATTGATATTGTGAAATTTTATGCTCTTTAATTGCAACATTAGCGACCATTGCGTCCGTATTGTGTGAGTGAAATGGTATTGAGTTTGGCTTTATATTCAGTACTCTGAATGCTATTTTAATAGCTACGATTGGGGTTATATAGTTTTGATATTGGGTAATTATTTAGCTTTTATTGGATTGAAATTAAATTGACATTGAGATAGTTTTGAGAAGTAAGTGTTCTGGGACCACAAATAGCGACTCTTTTAATAAGTTTTTAACAAACTTTTTGAAAACATTGATTCGAGTATAAGGTACTAATTCATATTTCATTTGTTACAGAAATATGTCGTCAGCACAGATCGGAGTGGTGATATCCATGTGCATGTCCAAGTAAGTATCCATTTTATTTACTACAATTAGGTACATTCTTGTCATTGTGAGTTCAGATTGGTCATGTCACTTTAACTTAATATTGGACACTTTCCTTAATCAAAAATAAATAATTTCGATTGTTCAATACAAAAGAATATGAAAAAATAATGACACTTTCATTAATTGATTTTATGACCAATTTAATTCTAGTATGTTTCCAGCAAATATTTAAGAAATAATTATTATGCTGTTTGACGCTAAAAAAGTGACGTCACAATATACAATTACACAATCTTGTATAAAATTAATAGAAAATTGACGTTTTTGACAGTTCGATAAAAGTATTGAATTTGACTAGTTGGCAAGTACAGGTCTTATAAATATTCGGCAGTGATTATATTAATTCGAGATGCCATTCCCAATAATTTCAATTTACTATGTCTGAAATAGTAATAAGCCGATCATAAATTCAAATCTTTGTTTAAAAATCTAGAATTTTCCAAAGACTGTGAAATGCGATCGGTTTATTAATTTTAGTCATAACTGTGCTGTACTAGCGAAATAATTGGGTCAAAGTATCTACATACTGTTACCTTGTCATTTATGAAAATGGAATAGAGTTTATCCGTTTGCCATTTCAATTCCCTTGACTTTTGGCGGGAATCGCTAAGTGACGCCATCTTGGCTTCGCAAAATTGTGTCTTAATGTGGAAAATTGGTTTATGACTGTGGTAACTGGTACGCTTATAGCTTCACTAGGAAAATCATAAAGTAGGTATCTATTTGAAAGAAGTGGTAAAATTAAAACTAAGATGTAATTAAATAAAACCAATACTTTATAATATGTATCTTTGTAACTGTTTTGATAAAGGCAATAATTATGTTACCCAAACTATTTATTTTGGTTGTTATTCAACCTTTTTTATTTTGCTAGTAATTCTGTCTTGTCAATGTCTAATGTATCTATAATGTATAGCAGTTGGTTTACGTCTTAAATACTTCAACTTTACAGATTGGAAACGTTTAAGTAATTTAGTAATGAACTAAATTGATGATGATATAATCAGAATCCATTAATTAGCATCGTAATGTAGTAATGAAGTTCTAAATAAACTTTTATATACAGGAATAACGTTTAAAATCGAACGATTTATATTTTTTTCATTCACACGTTTACATATTTTCTTTTTTTTTCTGCTAACCAGGGGATTATACCTCAACCAAATAAGGTAAGCCAGAGTGTGATTTCAAACCATCCATAATAAATTCATGTTACCTATATTTTTGATAATTGTGACAGACTAAACACCATGATAATAATATTTTTATGGTAGGTTTTTAAAAGTTACTTGTCGTCGAGTAAAGATTTTCAAAAAAACAGCCAATTATTATGTGCACAATGACCACATTCTTCTTAAAAAGAACGACCACAGAAGCTCGTGTTTTTTTCTAGATTTTTCTAAACTAGTCATTTTAATAATTCACTCATGTACATTACACTCTTCTGTCTCTTTATGACTCTTCTGTTTTTATTATTTTGTGTGAATTAAATAAACCATTTATCTTCTGCCTTCACACTTCATACCATTTTTTAGCTTTTGAGAGTGTGTGTGATATATCACAAGAAGCACCAATAGCATAGCGATTTTGAATGACATTTGTAGCGTTTTGTAGTATTTTCGAGAAATAAAAGCGTAGCGTATTTATTCTATGTATTTAAATGATTGAAAAATAAGTAATAGGCTGACTGAATATTTGTATCAAGTAAAAGTTCAATCCCTTCTATAATAAAGACTAGTTAGAATGTCGTAAAAATCATATATAAGCAATTAGGAACATAAAATCCATGCAGTTAAGATTGTGTTTTGTTTGTGAATTATATCCTATACTGTTTTACTATAGATTTAGAAACTTTATTTTTCCGAATGTTTATTATATAGTGTGTAGATACGATTAGTTACCTATTAGACTTTAGACGATTAGACGTCTTTGTTAATCCTATCACTAGATTAGTATCCTCAAAATCTAAGTAGTATTAGTAGGTATAAATAGCCCAGCACTTCACATAACATCTAGTCTATCTAGACTAGGAATCAAGGCTAGGTTTCTTATTAAACACGTCCTATATTCCTAGATCTGCATATCACGTAGGCAGACAATGTCTTTCAAGTCTATGAAATGACCTATATTCTAGAAACTTGCGTAGTAGCCTTTGTCTTTCTCTTTATGAAACGTAGGTGATACTATTACAGTATCTTAGACACCCCTTCTATTCCCTTCTGCGAAATAACAGCTTAAAGGTCTCAACTGTAGCGAAGTTTGATAGACATTTTAACACTCAATATTAGACCGTAGCTATTTTATTACATAGTTTAATTTCATTTGCAACTCCGATCTGTAAACTTTGTTACCTTGTACTCTAATTCTGATTAATTAATTGGTTTGTTTAATCTTTCAGGGGGACTTAAGCCAACAGGATAAAAGATGTGTGTTCTTAACGGTACACGATCTTGGGACCAATCGTAAGTACTTTACTTATTCTTTAAAGTTGGTGGTAGTTTTCTAATGGTACAACATTCTTGTTAGAAGAATTTCCTCGACGCGGCAAGATTCATTTTAATAGATAACTGCCTCGTTGGTCGTGTGCGGCTGCCGGGCAAGGGGTCTCAGGTTCAATTCCCGAGTCAGGCAAAGTATTACTGGGGTTTTTAAAAATCTCAATATTAGCATGGAGTTTGGAATTGTGGCCGGTATATGGCAATAGGTTCACTCTCTATTACATGGGAGTCGTAATATACATAGTGAAAAGTGGGTGTTACATTGTGCAGTGGCATTAGTGCCGTAATGTGCACCTCTGCCTAACTCTCCGGGGATAAAAGGCGTGGATGTTATGTTTTTAATATATTTAGCAAGTAGTCCGAATTTACCCGGTGTATGACAATGGTCTTATCCCCTATTACATGTACTCGTAAAATAACTGGTTAAAAGAGGTGACCTTATGTTCGGTATGTTTTTAATAATATAAAACAAACACCATCTACCGCTACTCCGTGTTATGAAAGCAATAACAATGACTTCACCATTTCAATTAGACTTTTATGACTGTTCATCTTTTATATTGAAGCGTTTTATTCTTTCATTGTAAGAGACTTTATTTTATTAGATAAATAAACCCACTTCAACAATGAACCACTTAAAGTCCATTTTATTGTTGACCTAACGCCTTTGAAATATAAAAATGTCTATAAAATTGTTTAAAGCACCAAAAACAGCTTTTGTAGGTACAAGGAAAAAGATTGCGGGTCCAAAGTTTTAGGGTTTTGTTATTTGAAATGTCAAAACTACGTTGTAGAGTTTAATTTTTAAAATTTCTATTTATTTTTTTTTGAGTAGAGAAAATCATCCAATGACTTCTCCCGCCTTGTGTGAGGTGTGAGGGAGTGTCAGACTCTTACTAACTAAAACAACCCCGTTCCTACTCATGCTCTTCTAGCTGGGGCTCTGGCAACCCGTTAGGCCTTCCGCGGCTCCCGTTAGGCCTTCCGCGGCTCCAGTTTGTTTTGGTTACAATCGAATTTACAATATTGGGATTGTGATTAGCGTTATTGTTTGCTTAATGTCAGATAAAACAAAAATGTTGTACTTATAAATGATTGTTTAAAGAATAAGGCGTTGGGCGATGTGGGCTCTAAAAACAAATCCTTTTTAAAAAATAAAAAGAATCTGAGTTGCACTTGTAGTTTTCTCATAGACCTACACGTAATTTGTAAAATTATTCAGTTACTTATTACAATCAATAAATAACATAACGTCACGCCTTTTATCCCTGAAGAGGTGCGGTGCACATTATAGAACTTAATGCCACTGTACCTCTATAATGTAACACCCAGTTTTCACTATTTATGTTATGAATCCCATGTAATAGGGTGTGAGCCTATTGCCATTCGGCACAATTCTGGACTCCGTGCTACTACTGAGATTTTTAAAAAAAAACCCAATAATACTTTGCCCGACTTGGGAATCGAACTCGAGACCCCTTCTCCGGCAGTCACTTGCGACCGCTCGGCCAATGAGGCAGTCATAATCGATACATGTACAACTTGTATTTTAAACTATCTATAGTATACCTCATTTGCCAATGTTTGAATGATTGCCAATACGAGTTATGTTTTGCGATGGCTGGTAATAACTGCCCTAATTACGAACATCCATGATAGTGTGTGTTTACGACCCATACATACATGGTTCTACCTCTATACATACGAACTCATCGGTGGATTACCAATGAGTTTGATGGATTCGTAAACAATGAGCAAATTGGTATTGAACAGTAATATGTTTACATTTACTTTGCATAAGAGATAGCTGTTTAGGATATGACAATTGGATTTGTGTAATATCTATCTTTAATACCTTTGTGGAATAGATAGTCCATACTAATATGTTTTAAAGTGTGATTGAGTGGTTCTAGTGCGTCATAAAACGTAAATTGGTTAGCTTTGTAAATATTAGTGAAGATTTATTTGAAGTTTACTGGTAGAACTGTTAAGTCTGTCTAGAAAGTTCTTAGATCAGATGCTAGCTCGAACTGTTGATAGTATAATGATGCCACGCGTAATTTGTTTTATCAAGTCTATTTCTATTAATATTCTAGACTAGACATTTTATATTACGTTTAAGTGAATGCAAGGAATTTTTCGTTCCAGATTCGACAATGGTTGACTTCGTGAACAGTCCAGCAATGTCGGAGATCAAGGAGCGTTCCTGTTTCATTCACGTGGACGTGCCAGGACACGAGGAGAACTCGCCAGATCTACCCGACTCGTGAGTACATTCATTTGTAGTTTCGTGTTTTGCTATTTAATAAATAGGATGATGGTTGATAGAAAACCATTGTTTTGAAAATATACTAATTTCTGTTTATAGGGCTCCTAAGGACGTTATAATTGTGATCAGTATACAATAATGTCCAGTCCATTTTCAAAAAAGAAGTAAATAAAACCAAATGAAAATGTTGAATGTTTTTAAACGTAACTTTAGGATTTTCCAGCACTTAGTAACAACTAGGAATAATAAAATTGCGATCATTAATTTTATACGAGCTCAAGACACTATTGATATAATTGTAAAAGGTTTTGCAAGTCAAAGCGCATTTGAAATAATTCAGTACTATTATGAAAGTCAAATGAATGCCAAAGGTTGGGGTGGTTTGTAAGTTGTAATAGATTTTTTTATAGGTTAATGGACTGAATTGTAACAATTCACTACAACACACGTCAGATACACCAGTAACCAGTATGACTGACGTGAGAAAATAAACTAAGTAAGAAGTTGTAGAACATAATATTTGACATGACCTAAAATCGATTGATTTAAGACACAACGATATTTACAGGATTTTGTAAAACTTCAAACGTTTTTATTAAAAATTTAGTCATTTTGTAGTAACGCAATCTAATTTATTTGCATCCATAGCTACCAGTTCCCATCACTCCAAACATTGGGGGAAGACCTCATAACAGTGCTGGACTTCCTTCACGTGCGTTATGCAGTTGGCTTGGGGGAAGGCGCTGGAGCCAATGTCCTCGCCAGGTGCGGGCTGGCCCATCCTAGGCGCCTCTTGGGCCTGATCCTTGTCAACTGCACAGCATCTACTTCCTCGGTGGCCGATGCTTTCCGCAGTCGGTTCTCCCGATGGCGAGGAGCTGATATCTCCCAGTCTGAAGAGGATTTTCTCATCTACCACAAGTTTGGCCACGTGAGTTTTGAAACCGAAAAGCATTTTAGCTACCAGGTATTCCTTCTTTCTGTTTTTGTTACTAATACTACTAATTGCTCGGTTTGAGCTACTTCGAGGTAAGAATATGGTTTATTGTTTTCAGAAATATTACTTCTTTTGGTTGTAAATGCATTGAAATTTTCGTGAGACATAACTACTAAATTAATTATTATGTTTTCGGCTTACTCACGTAACTGTTTGTCGAGGAACTCGATCAGTTTCAAGCCACTCAGTGGCTCATATTCATGAGCAGCATTCCGCGACCCGCGACGCGGCGTCTATCATGCTGCTACTGGCATCTAGCATGGCTTGAAACTAGTCGAGATCCTTGTCAAACAATTACGTGAGTAAGACGAAAACATGATAATTAATGTATGTGCACTGTTTTGTAACTTCCTTCTATCATCATTGTTTATCATTTCTGAGAATGATATTACCTAGTTTGTGTGGAGTTATTTTATTTAATTACTTCGTTTGTATGTGTTTCTTTCATCATTAAAATAGTTCCACTATCTTCTCTGCCCGTAGTAGCATCTTCTTAACTTCGACTAACACACTAATATCTATTAGTTTTAGTTTTTGCTTTTAGTTAGCTTTGTAATGTACTTTTTGTACTGTGAATAATTATTATCATTCATTGATCGTATTTCCTAAATGCTTAGTTTTTTATTGTGTTTTAAGTTTTTATAATAACTATCGTGAGACATACTAAATTAACTAAAAATCGCGGGTAGTAGGCTACGTGATATAACCACGACCGCGCACTGAGAAGAGCCTCTCTGTGGCTCAAAACTAATAGAGCTTTTCTCAGTATGTTCACGTGAATAACCCGCGATTTTTAGTAATTTTTTAAGTTGTATTAAATTTAGATTACAATACTTTCTTAATGAAACTTAAATGTAGTGGTATAAGAGGTTGAATGTATTTTGTACCTATTAATTTTAATATCCTATTTTTCTATGATTACGCGCCAGGTTGATGGAGGATTTTATGTCTACAGTCAGCGTTAACTGCCCTGATAATGGAATAAAGATGTCCTTTCAGTTTAACGTAAATAATAGTCAATTTTAATAAAATCCATAATATCATACTTAAGCTGTACTAAGAGTACCTCAAGGTAATAACTTCGGTCCCACTTAGGTCAGTACTATAGATGTCGCAACTCACCGTAAACCTTGCGATATTGCAGTCATTAGGCTGGGTATTGCATTACTTTATGGGACGTTTCTAGTGGGTTTAAGTATTCCTCAGCAATATTGGTAGAATATTAAAATTTGTATTATTGTTTTCAGTTCTGTTTTGAATGTATGATAAGTTGATTAAGTTCTTGAGTTAGGCTCAATAATGTTTCTTATTTCGGGATTCTTTTTGTAGTATCAAGTCGTTCGTAATTACCTTTTTGATATGATTGTTTATATTTTGATTATTAATAATTGTACCATTGGAGTCTATAGCTTTAAAATTAGCATCAAAATCTTAAGTACAGTTAAAATTCTTCAAAGCTTAAGATCTTTTAGTGTCTCTTCTACTAACAAAGAATACATTCAACCAACGATCTTTTTCACTGCATAGAACTTCAGTTTCTTAAGCACTTACTTCTTCTTTGGTCTAAATATTTCGTTAATCTTCCAGCAAATATCGAGTGACTCGTTGGAGGCAGGTGAACGTGACCGCACTCTGGCCGAGTACAGGTCCAGGCTCCGTGGTAACCTGAACACTCATAACATCAAGCAGTATGTGAGAGCGTTTATCAAGTAAGTTTGTAGTTTGAGTCTTATGGTAGTGTGTTGTAGAAGCGTGATAATTAAAGTTTATAGTTAGAGGCAATGCGTGAAAAACCTTTTCTCAGCAATGCTATGGGGCAGTTGCAGGTTGATGATGATGATGAGTTTAGTCGAGTTAAATTATTTATTGAAAGTAAGATATTAAACATTTTTGGCTATCGATCGATCTGGTAATGGAGTTTTCAAAGTTTAGATGTAGATTCCCATGAATATTGGGATTTCCATGGCAACAGTTTTCAAAGAAATTGTAGTTTGCAATTCTGGGTTATAGATTAACTGCCTAACAGTTTACTGCCAACTATTAACTGCTCAAAATGGGCTCGACGATATTTTTTGTGATTTTAAAACATGTTTATAACGCTACTTTACTATTAACATTTAATTTTTTAATAAATCAAATTTTATTTACTTTAAACATTGAACATATTCGCTATCGCTGCAATATTGGCAATTGCAAAAATCTTGTTGTGTATATATGGCAATAGGCTCAACTACAAAATATTCCGTTACTTATACTCACATCGCTCTCATTTCAGTCGCAAGGACCTGATCCTCCGCGGCTGCCAGCCAGATATCCTGCTCATCACTGGCATGCTGAGCCCGTACTCCACCGTCATTGAGAAGATGTACAAGGAGCTGGACAAAGAAAGGGTCACCATCCTAAAGGTGGACCGAGCTGGCGATGTCTTGGCTGAAACTGTAAGTATGGATTATAAAATTTAGAATTAATGTAGAAAAAGGTTATGCCTAGAACATAAGATATAGTAACTATGTGATGACCTAGGTTGTAGTCTATTTGTATGCGAAACCACATACAAATTCGTCATGAAATTTGAAAGCCTGAGTAGTTACTTAGGCTATTATAAAGAATTCCATTTCCAACATCATAGAGTTATTTTGAATTATTACATTATATTTAATTATGCAATATATAGGCAATTTTAATTCACAGCTGTAAAATCTACTGTAAGTCATTGCTCTCGAAACTAGATATGCATAGTTCACGGCCTGTCACGGTCTTATATCGGAATAAACTGTTTACTTGTGTAATAGATGAATGAAAGATATACCCAAGTAGTTACTACCAAAATACAGAAACAAGTTGTATAACTGCGTTGGAGTATCTCTTAATATTTTACTTCGTGTTACGTAAGCTATGCTATGTCGATCTTCGTCAAGGCGCGCCGGCGCATGCGAATCTAATAGCCCCCTCTTTGCAACCGTCACAACGCAATCATTCGTCCGCTGTTACACCAAAGTAAAAGTAAAACCGCGTTCATTGACTCACCGAGACCCTTGCTGATATAACGCGGATCAAGTTTGTGAACAAAACTTTGCCGAAGTTTTGTTATAACTTAAAAGTTTTGTGAAACAAGTGTAGAACATGTTACATTGAAAACCAAAATGTCTGTGATCTTACTAATTATTGAAATTATAATCATCGGGGGCATGATAGTGGGACTTTATCAGAAGAATACGAATTTAGTGTGCAAGTCCAAGAAGAGATACGATGGCAAGACGGTACTGGTCACGGGTGGGACTGCAGGCATGGGACTCGAGATCGCCGCAGATTTCGCACACAGAGGCGCCAGGGTCATCGTGGCGTGCCCCTACGAAGATGAAGGCTTGCACGGCAAAAAACTCATCATAAGAAGCTCTGGTAACGAAAATGTAGTGTTCAAACTACTAGACCTCGCTTCCCTAGAATCTGTAAGAAACTTCGCTGCTGATATATTGAGAACAGAAGACAGATTGGACATTTTGGTGAACAATGCTGGAGTTGGGGTCCCGGGAGATTTCCTTACCGCTGATGGAATGAATTTCATCATGCAAGTAAACTACTTTGGCACTTTTCTACTGACAATGTTGCTCCTACCGCTTCTGAAGAAGACGGGTACAACGTCTGAACCGAGTAGGATTGTAAACACATCATCTGTAATGCACAAGTTTGGTAAAATAGATTTCAACAATTGGAACAAGACAGGATACTGGGCCAAAATAAGGATATATGGGAACAGCAAGCTTTGCTTAGCGCTCTTCACCCGGGAACTTGCCAAGAGAATGAAGAATCCAACTGTTATAGTGAATATTGTGGATCCAGGAGCAGTTGGGACGAGGATTTTTAACAGTTCTCGGATCGCGTGGGCCAGTTTTATATCATTTATGGCTTTGATCTTGTTCAAACATCCCTGGGAAGGTGCGCAAACAGCCTTGTACGCTGCCACGAGTGACAGGGCTGGTAAATTCACAGGGGAGTACTTCAAGAACTGTCAGAGAGTTCGAGCTAGTGAGTTAATTTATGATGAGAAGCTGGCGACGAGGGTCTGGGAGGAATCAGTAAGACTTGTTAAACTAAGTGATGAAGAACTCAATCAGTGCTTTAGTTCTTAGATGTATGATGGTTGTTGTGACAAATAGTAATAAATAATTAGTATCTGGTTTCTCAACAGACACCAGTATGCATGTGAGGTGTTGACACTGATAAATTGTTAAATGAATCCGTGTAATTTTCATTCAGGATGTTAATGCTAATTTTTGTTGACTTGTAATGAAATAGTAGTATGTTGGTAGCATTAATAGCGTGTTGCGTGACCCCGTTGCGCTCTGTTGGATGGTCGATTCCTTTTTTACATTAACACGATCAATTAAACGGAATTTCAAAATGTCAAAATCAATACTTGAAACTGTGTACCTGCGGATAATTTCTTAACTATATTTATTTATAGCTTTACTATATTTTAATCCAAGATTTAATATATTGTGTAACAAATAAATTATTTTAGTTAATTTTCTGTGTTCATGTGTTTTTTGTTTTGTTTTCTTCTACAAACTAAACAGAAATTATCGTTTCAGCGTAGCTGTAATAAAATAAATAAATACACACCTTTAAACGTAAATGTTAGTTAGGAAAATAATTTTATGGCTAGTTAAGTTCATACTTAAACAGTGAAGGTTATCCTGTTGGTTTCAACACGTTCTAAGCCAACTTAGACATCTAGATTATTTATCTCTTTCTGATACATACGAATTACAAATATTATAAATATACCCTGGAGACGGTTACAATAAAATTGAAAACAGGAAACGTTATTTACTGTACTGATAAACGTTTTATATTGTCAAACAAGTTCGTACAGTAATACTTATTAAGGTAAATGTTACAATTTCTAAACTTTTCATTACAGCCAGCTAAAGTAGCGCAGTCTCTGCTGCTGTTCTGCCAGGGCCAAGGTTTGCTGACGTCACTGCCACCTCCAGGGGTAGAACGACGCATGTCCCGCGCCATGTCGATGGAGGAGTACGACAAACCGAACATTCGCCGTCTCTCTCTCACACCAAGCGTAGCAGAGTCACCCCCGCATAGGAAACTCTAGCTGAAGAGATCCGACTCCTTACTCGAGGAGACGGTGTAAGGGGACTTTGAAGTAGGGGCGTTCTAGAATGTGTAGTTTTCTGTATAAAACATAGATGGCGTTACTTGCACGTAGTAGAAGTTCATTGCATGTTAACGTTTACCCATCCGTAAAAAGCTTAAGTAGATTTTTGATTTTATTAGAAAAGGTAATTACGTTGATATAATAGTAAAGGAATTAACAGATGATGTAAAATAATGTGCTAATACACAGATAATAAAAATTAATTAGGTAATAATAAATTGCTTTACTAGCTACTTGAAACACATGGTAAACCTCATATTTTTTTGATATTAGTTTTAAACTATGTGCAATAAAACCTAGATAAATAACAAAAAATCTGTGCACACACATAGATATTGATGGTAAGTAATTAGCTCTCTAAAAAACGCCCTACTTCTCGAACCTTCGCTATACTTATGCTATAATGTTAATATAATAATTTAAACATTTGTCTAATGTATGTCTGTTGTAGAATCCGTATTTGTTAGAGGAATGAGCGTCGTCGTTGCATTAGATTACATAACATAACATATCGAAGGCATTGTTACAAATGGCTTTTTGTATAGTTATTATTGCTTAATTTTATAACTTGATAATTATATAAATATTACACGTTTATCTTGCTTTCTGAAGAGTTTTATTCATAGAAACTTTTGGCGAATCGGTAGAAGTGTTTTACTGAATATAATTATAGATACGAAATGCTTATAAAGTCATTTGATGTTTTTAAATATGCAATAGATAAAATATAAACTTTCTGTTAAAAAAATGTTTATGAAATGAATATACCTATTTATGAATGAAAGAGTACTTTAATTCATTGAAATAATGATTTTGTTTTTTTTTTAATGATGAATAAATAATTATTTTAAAGGAAATCTTCAGTTGTGATGTTTTCAATTGTAATGGGAACTTTGTTGGTTATTTTTCGGAATTTAGAAAAGAGATGTCTATCTTTGTCAAAGTCATAGTGAAAATCATTTATTTAAATTAGACCCAGGAAGGCACTTTTGAACGTAAATAAAAATTATGAAAGTGAAGCTATGTGCTCATTCCAAGGTGTAGATTCCTATGGAGAAGAACGATCAAGAAACTCCATTCTCCAGCACTCTTTTTCAATCAGGTTCCTAATACAATTCTGGACTTACATAATGCGTTTTATTGGTTCAATTATGTACAGCATCTTTAACAGTATATTATTATAAGTAGGTACATGAAAATACACCTTATCTTGAAATGGTACGGATCACAATCGCTAGTCTGTTGTTTTATTTATAGAATTTGTTTCAATTTCTTTTTTTATTTAAATGTAAATTATGAAGTTCTATTATCAAAATTGATGTATTCTACTATTATTATCTGTATAAAGTATGTAACGTCTAGAATAGTATAGTTACATTTAAGTGTACTAGATTTTATGTTTAATTCAGAATAAATATATACTTCTAGATTACATTAGTATTTTTTTTTTAATATTTAATAGGATAGCGTTTGACAACCATCTTGCCTGGTGGTAAGCGATGACGTGGCCTATAATGGAGTCCACCCATCTATATTGGCTCCATCATAGTCATTTACTTGAAGACAACGAAGATGTTATGTTTTGTTATTTCATTGGTCACATATTATCAATCTGCAAACTTACTAAAAAATAATGTACTTTTTTATGGAATAAGCCGGAAAACAAGAAGGCGCCAATCCTGATGGCAAGCAATCGGTACTATAAGAATTTTAATTAGATTCCAGATTTAACAATAGCTACTGTCATTTTGTGAAATAATGATACCACATATAATAGTGTAGTGATGCACACAAAAATCGATAAACAATCAGTATGCGTGTTTTATAATAAATGTTACAGAAAGTGACAGGATAGTGATAGCGATGACGGCGACAATTTATTAAATAACTTATTACCATCATACATCTATCTGTTTCATTTGTCATGTTCCTTCATAATTACATTATTTTCTTTATTTCACACACAATTATAAAAGAAAAGTCTCAGATCGTTAATTAATCGTCAAAACTAAATTATCGGTTCAGAAATATTTAATTAACTGATATACTTAGTTTACGAGAGTAAAATTATAAACGAGAAGAATCGATCCAGAAATATTTCATTTCCATATCGAATAATTTCGCAACGTCACTATTTAGTACTTGTCATAACGTTGCAACACTGAAATTGTCAAATCTGGAATAGAATTAAAATTCCGAGTATAGCCATGGACACTCCAGAGGAGTTAGAAGTGCGTTGCAGGCGTTTTGGGAGATAGGAATTTGAGGAATAGAGATTTGAGGATAAGGGAGAAGATTGTAGAGACTGGGAGAAAAGGAATTGGATCTCCGGTCACAGAATAACCACTCCGGTAACCTCTCACCTCTTATTCTACAGTTAAGAATAGTGATTTAACCCGTTGAGAATCATTCCCTGAATTCGTTCATACAAAAGTAGTCTCTAAACATTGGAAATAAGGTCTATAATGTAGTTAGTGGAGAGCGGTCATAGGTGACCGCTTGAGGATCTATGGTTTGAAAAATTGGCCCTTCGTGCAAAATCTAGAGCAAAAAAGGAAACTGCTAAATTTCCAAGCAAATTATTTTGTGCAAATAAAATAATGAAACTCTTCGTTTGGAAATAAACTGGACGTTTTATTGTGACAATAACATCAGACGGTACATTGTAAAAAAACTTTTTGATCTTTTCAACAAACACGGACGTACACAAATACTAAACATTTACACTTACAACAATAGCGCCGCATTCACACCGCACACTTACGTGATTCGCCACAAAACACGTGTAAATAATTTCTATCAATAAAGGTAAAAATAAAAATATAAAAATTCATTCTCCGTCGAGTATTTGCTAAAAAATTTAAAGAAATATACCAATGAAAAAAAACTTAAAAAAGACGTCGCAAGACTGCTCGACGGAGAACACAGCAGACGGTTGTGAGGCGAGGGAGCGCAGCTCTGTCACGCCATGCAGCCATCGGTGCGTCAACGGTAGGGTACAAGCAACTCGAGCATCATCCGACCTCCGCGGACATTTTCGAACCTTTATAATAATTTTCCCAGTTCTGCAATAATCAATATCAATAAACGTGCGGCCGCGGTTTTGTGGCGTCCGCTTCGGCGGCGACGCTGCGCGGCCGCCATGTTTAGACACGCACAGACCGACCACAGCACATGCACCGAGTCACTTGTCTAGGCAGTGGAGGCGCCGCGCGCGCAGTCCATGTGCGCGGCGAGCGCTGAGTACGTGTCGGCGCAGTCGCGTCGCAGCTGTATCGGCGGCGGGCGGTCTGCGGCGAGCGCGGAGGGGTGCGGCGGGAGGGGGCGCGGCCCGCCACGAGCCGGCGGGGCTCGTCATAGCTCGTCGTCGAATCCAGGCTGCATGTCAGACGTCTCGATGGCAACTTCATCGTAGTCACGCTCAAGTGCTGCCAGGTCTTCTCGTGCTTCTGAGAATTCACCCTCTTCCATGCCTTCGCCCACGTACCAGTGCACAAACGCTCGCTTAGAGTACATGAGGTCGAACTTGTGGTCGAGTTTACCCCACGCTTCGGCGATGGCGGTGGTGTTGCTAAGCATGGAGGCAGCACGCTTCACCTGAGCCAGATCCCCGCCCGCCACCACCGACGGCGGCTGGTAGTTGATGCCCACCTGAGAATTCAAAGAATAAAAAATATAGAATTATTCCTATACACTAGACTATGATGGTGGTAACATAAAAAGGGTTTATGCTGCTTGGACATCTTAAGTAAAGGGCATAAAAATATTTTAAGCATCAACTTCAAACATTTAGAAAAACTTACTTTAAACCCAGTAGGACACCAGTCCACGAACCGGATCCCGGCCCGGCCCTTCATGGCTGCGATAGCAGCGTTCACGTCTTTGGGCACCACATCGCCGCGGTACAGGAGACAGCACGCCATGTACTTGCCGTCGCGAGGGTCACACTTCACCATCTGGTTCTGTGGCTCGAACAGCTCTGCTGTGATCTCTGACACTGACATGCCTTCGTGGTATGCCTGGTGGTTTAAACAACAACGTTAATGCAACAATCCTCTTAGTTTATCTTGTTAGAGTTAAGCCCTCTCTATGGTTCTATTTTCAATTTTTGCTATGATAAAGCTTAAAAGGACTATTGACGATCGTTTTATATGGTACTAGCGACCTGCCCCGGCTTCGCACGGGTGCAATATGCATGTATAATGCATATAAACGTTCCTTAAGAATCACTATCTATTAAAAAAAACCGCATCAAAATCCGTTGCGTAGTTTTACAGATCTAAGCATACAAAGGGACAGACAGACGGCGGATAGCGACTTTGTTTTATACTATGTGTGATAGTAACTATCAGGTTTTAAGGAGTTACTGTCTACTGCGGTACCTTATCAGCCGAGACCACGGGCGCGTAAGCAGCGAGTGGGAAGTGAATACGCGGGTAGGGCACCAAGTTTGTCTGGAACTCAGTCAGGTCCACGTTCAACGCTCCATCAAATCGCAGCGATGCTGTGATTGACGACACCACCTGGACACAAGTACTCGGGATTGGTGAAAATATTAAGGTCTAGATTGCGAGAAATCTGATTACCAGTATAAAGACAAGGGAAAAACGCTCTTAAGACTGGTTGTAGTAGTAGTAGCAGTAAATGATACTCACTTGTGAAATAAGTCTGTTGAGATTGGCATAGGACGGCCTCTCAATGGACAACCGCCGCCTACAAATGTCGTATATGGCCTCATTGTCCACCATGAACGCGCAGTCCGAGTGACCAATGGTGGCGTGTGTCGTCAGCACTGCGTTGTAAGGCTCCACTACCGCTGTCGACACCTGAGTGGAAATAAAACGCTTCCAATAATCGTTGACGGGATGCAACATGAAATGCAAAAAATATTGTCACTTGGAACAAATGTAAAAAATGTACACTATTTTTCAAGTATGTAGATACTTACTTGCGGTGCGGGATAAATAGCAAACTCAAGTTTACTCTTCTTGCCAAATTCTTCTGAGAGTTTCTCCATGAGCAGTGATGTAAAGCCGGAGCCTGTCCCGCCGCCAAAAGAGTGAAATACGAAGAAACCCTAGACAGTTCACGAAATAAATATAAAAAAATAGTACAGGTACGGGCGAACATAATAACTATGAGATACGTAATAGGTGTCTTCTTAAACACAATGGTATTTGCGAGACAATGAACTATTCAATTACCTGCAAACCAGTACACTGGTCTGCCAACTTCCTGACTCTCTCCATGACAGGCCCCAGCACCTCACGGCCGGTGGAGTAGTGACCACGCGCGTAGTTATTGGCCGCGTCCTCCTTGCCTGTGATCAGCTGTTCTGGGTGGTATAGTTGTCGATATTCACCTGAACGAACCTCGTCTGCAAG